AACCCCCCCCCCCCCCCCCCTCGGCTCGGACATCCTTTGTGAATGGCCCCTAAGTATACTATAGCTACTTAAATTAAATATAAGAATTTTAAAATCATTTTAATTACGTACATTATATATAGGCCTGGTCCAGCAATTCCTTGCATGTGTTCACTATGAAATCTTCCATCTTGGTGCGGAATCCAACATACGAATGGCAAGAGAAGTCTTGTTCTGGCCAGGTATGAGAAAAGCCATTCAGAATATGTGTACTACCTGTGGGATTTGTGCACAATACGGCCAGACGTTGACCAAAGAGCCTATGAAGTCGATACCATTACCTTCACTTCCCTGGGAAATAATTAGCCAAGATTTATTTACGCTCGAGCAACGAAGTTATCTGGTCACCGTGTGTCACTTCTCAGACTGGGTAGAAGTAGATGAACTAATGGACATTCTCTCAACAACCATTGTTAACAAGACCAAGGTACATTTTGCAAGGTTTGGCATTCCACGTATATGTCATACAGACAATGGACCACAATTTGTTGGCAAAGCATACAAAGAATTTGCCAAGGAGTATGATTTCAACCATACATCATCTTCACCATACCATCCACAGGGAAATGGCAGAGCAGAGGAAGCGGTGAAGCTTGTTAAGAACATGATCAAGAAATCGGACGATTTTCAAGCTGCCCTATTAAACTATAGAAACACACCTCAGAGAGGTCACTCTTATTCCCCAGCTCAACGGATGTTGTGTCGTCATACCCGAACAAAATTGCCAACCTCAAACAAGGTTCTTGTTCCGAGAATGATAAACAGAACAACAATACAAGAGGAGTTAGAGCATAAATGCAGCACAAGCAAAACGTATTACGACAGAGCAGTGGGACCACAACACAACACTTTACGACCTGGTCAATATGCATACGCTAGACCGCCTCCACAACAGCGCGGGAAACCATGGATCCATGGACAAATTACAAGGGAAGAACCATCGCGTTCGTACACATTAAAAACATCCAACGGGATGATAAGAAGGAATCGTGTCCACATTGTAATGTAGTCACGTCATGTAAGTACATTTTTATACTGTACAACTTGTACTAAAGAGATACATTATACACATCATACCGACAACACCACCACCGTCAGGTTCCGGACCTACTTCTCATAAAAGGGCGTCCTTAACCGATGTGGAAGCAATCCCCATCATTCTTCCAAGTCGACCACCCAAAAAGGAAATAACGGTAACGAATGATGGACAAGAACCATCGACACCCATATCACCACACGAACCATCAACGCCCATTCCACCTACTCAGCGAACGCCCATTCCACTGCCCGAGTTGTCAGAAAGGCCAACCAGGACGAAAAGAGTGCCAGAGAGACTAAAAGACTATGTACTACATGGACTGGAACTATTATTAAAATAAAATAAAACTAATTACTGTTAGTATATATATACAATTTTTTTTTGGGAGGAAGAGAGATGTTGGTCAGCGGCCTGGCCCGGCGCAGTAGAAGGAAGGGACTGATCAGAGTTTTGGACTTTTGACAGTAAAATTATAAACGTTTAATAATATAAATATACTTTTATTCATTTGTCTTTGGATTACATTTCTTTGTGTGTGGTCTACAACTGGTCTAGGCTGATGCGATGGCGAGTACAATTAGGGATTAACCCGGGCTGTTCCCGGGTTAATTCCTGGACAAGCCCGGCGGTTCGTCCAATTTATTTGACAACTGAATTTCCAAACATCACGAGTACTATTAATCCCTAATTGTACGAGCAACATCGCGTGATTACTTGTTTATTACTAGCATGACAAAATTTGCTGATTTTGTTCGTATTTTCATTGATAATTAGTTATTTTGCTTTATATTTACTTTATTATTATGTTTAAGTTCCTCTAGGACAATTTCATTTTTATTTAAATACCTTTCCGCCATTTTGTTTGTTTTGGGAAAATCATCAATTGTACTGCAGTACAATTTATAATGAAACAAGACGCTCTATAGAGCGTTAACTCGCTGGGGCTATACAAATGAAAACTAAATTTTGTCACCGTATTTGTTCATAATTTGGTAACCGCTACAATTTACAGAAAATTACAACAGATTGCGGAAGTTGACTGGGAAGGTTCTTGTATTTTGACTGTAACATAGTAGCCACTAACATACAGTGGCACTTACATAAAGTTTTGCTGCTGCTACCTAGTACAGTTTACAGATATAGACAAATATAATCAACTCGAATACAGTTTAGAGTGAGACTTTATTGAGGAGAAATAGTACAGAAAGAGCTGACAGTTCAGTTAGCAATACTTGCAGATACGCATCGAAGTATCATTATGCAATAAAAGAATTACAGATTTTTCTACAGTATACATCGTATAAGAACAAAATTCTGAAACAATCACTAGGACTATTTGAAGTTTAAATATTCAGTTTGAGTATGAATTATGATTATATAATCACGGAACAAATCTTGCATCTGAACAAACCAAATTTAGCAAGTTCTTTAATGTATGGAAACCATTTCTGTAAGCTTTTATAATGTTTATTTTTTATGAAGCGTCGATAGTTCAATTTCATTGATTTACCAGTATTGGTCCAGTAGAGATAGAGATGTTCGTTGTAAAGGTGCCAATAATGAGGTACAATCAATCAATATACGTTAGTCTTGTCCTCGAGGAATTAACAGTCGTATTTCAAGGAACTGCATGTGAAATCCACTTTAATAGCAATATTAATTGAATAGCGTACAAATTCACGAACAATTCATAGCGTCCATTCCGGCCCGTGATCAGAATAGTGGAGACACCACAATGAAGTTAGTGATGAAATAAATTGAGCATCAGCATTCCATTGTAAACATATCATCATTCGTCATTTGAATTAATAGTTCCAGGTCTTAGTTGAATATAAAAATACTTAACAGTGTATCAATATATAAACATATTTAATTGGATTTGCCTCAGAGCTACAATAAGCTCATCGATATAGAGACAGCGTATAGATAAGATCGTTTGTTTGCGCCTTGCATGTACTAGATGAGGATTTAGCGTTAACCCATTAAGTGACAGCGCGCTCCCCTTGACGAGTAAAATCGTCTGCCATTAGACAGAGTAAGTGGGCCATATTGTCTTTTAAAGTGAATATAAATCCTTTTACTCATACATAATCATAGGAAGACTAAGTATAAATCGTAACTACTTTGGGACATACCTTAACATAATTGGTGATAATTTCCCGAACTGTCTCATTTCAGACTTTCAGTCCTAAAAGAAAACATTTTGAGTGATGTACTTGAGCTTACAGCGCATTTGAGCTGTAGTGTACTATACTAAGTATAGTCAATGCACATGTTGCACCTAGCTTCAATTTAAAAATGATTGAACATACCTTGTTTGCATGGAACTGCAGGAGACTCCTCACGTCAGTCTCTTTGGTGATCTACCAGAATCCCCCATCCCAGTCTCTCGTAGACTGGATTTTCATTTCAGCGATTTTTAAATATTCGATAGTGTTTCTGCTGCAATTAAATAGTGCGAGTTTAATGGGGTACAGTATATACGGAACTGGTATTGAAACTACTGGCGTAATACTACATGTCAAAATTTTAATGAAACTACTTGTCAAAATCTTACAGTTACCTTAACAGCCTCATGATCTGAATAATACACACTTAGAACGTTTGCTTCTATTTTATTGCTTATTGACTGTTTTACGTAAACATGATCGAGAAGACTTCCGGATGAAACAAATGTTGGTTTATTTACAAGTTGCACATAATTTAAAGACTCTGCGAGTACTTTCAATGAAGAAATGTTCTTTTCATTAAAGTAATCAATATTAAAATCTCCAAATATAACGTCAATATCCAAACTAGTTATTATGTAATCTAAGCAAGCAATGAATTGCTGAATGTCACATCCGTGCTTACGATAAAGCAGTAGACAGGATAAGGTATTGCCACCGGAGTTTTTAAGTAAAAATCGTAAACCATTTATTGAAGTGAAATATTCTGTATCACACAGTGTAACAGTGTCTTTGTAGCAAACAGCTAGACTTAAGAACTTGTCAGAATTATGATCTTGTCTGTGTATAGAAAAATCGTTAAGGATTGAGTTAATATCATCATTTGATACACTGGTTAAAAGTTGAGTTTCTGTAAGGGCAAACACATCACATTTCGACAAGATTGAGTCATTGATTGGGTCAAGACTGTGTTTTTTAAATGATCTAATATTTAAAAGACAAATTGAAACAGTTTCTATGTTACATAAATCTGTTGTAATATGCGGGTGGAGACTCGAAGTTTCACGCAATCTCTCGTATTCTTCCTGGACTTTAGGATTTGCTCGAATATGTTTACTTTCAAGTGTTCCTAAAATATGCAGGCCATTTAAAGACGTTGCTCGACTAAGGGACCGGTCATTATTTATGGTGGGGGGTGGCACCCCCCACCATAAATAATGGTTGGGTCAGCAAAAATTTTGCTGACCCAACCATTAAAAAGACAAAAATTTGATTACCCAACCTCAAATATCAATTAAAAAAATTACCCACCCTGGCCAAAAACGTTACAAAAAGATACCATTCAATTGTCACACATGTCCTTTACCACTTCTGTGACATGAGTTTGATAACGGCTTGTGAACTTTTCTGCAGTCTAAAGTTTCATATTGTCTGCACATGTACTTTCTTTGGAAACACCATTTCTTTTGTCAAAATGATCAAGATAGTGACTCTGATTGATTCATATATTGTACTGACAAATGACTGTTGACATTGCTTTTCAGTCAACAATATTTTGACAGTGAGTCACGTTTTTGAAATGACAATAAATTTTTATTACCCAACCCTTGAGTTGTTTTGTTTTTCATTTACCCAACCTTTTACTTACTCAAAATTTTGTTTACCCAACCATTTTCTCTTCGGTGCCACCCCCCACCATAAATAATGACCGGTCCCTAAGTGCTACATATACCTGACCATATTTAAAATACCTTTGCTTTTTTAAATCAAAACTGACGACAATGTTATCTAGAGTTAATCCTTGTACTTTATGAACAGTGCATGCCTATGCGAGAGTTACAGGAAATTGTAATCTTTGTATTTCAGGAGATGATGGTTTTCCTGGTCTGACTTTAATTCTCGCCAATACAGGTTTGATAGGAACAATATTGTTTTCTCTTGCAAAACTACTGGACGAATTTCGTATAGCAGATACTCCAGCATTACTGTCATCAAATTTAACAAAAATTATGGAGGGTTTATTACTAACATTGTCAACAGAAACTTTTATTACTGTATCTAACTGGCCATTAATTAATCGATCGCTAATATCCACATTGGTTGTGAGCATTACTCTTGCATTTTCTTTGATCAGGATTTTGGTGTCAAGCCCTCCAGTTTCGGATCTTCCGTTAGACAACACTCTATCGATATCCTGTTTTCTAACATGAGGTGGGAATTGATCTAAAGCTTCTAAAACGTACTGTGGTGATTGAATTTGTTGTAGGCGATCAATGTTGTACTCATCTACTGGTGCATTTCCTGCAAAGATGTGTAATGCATCCAATGGATAATTTTCATCACCTGGAGTTATTGTTCTGGATTGAATACACCTGACATCATCGTCTGTATGTGAAGCGGTGCGCACTCTATTATTATTTTAATAGTTGAGTGAAGGCGAGGTCATCTTTTTGTCTCATGATCTGTGTTAGTTCTGCCATTTTAAAGACCTGCCAGGGATGGTGTAGATTGAATGTATCAATCTTATAATTTGAAAATGTTGTTGCGCTTCGAATGGGTGGTAGCTGGAAGAAATCTCCGAAAACAAGTACACTGATTCCTGCAAAAAGTTCACTATTAGGTGTAACAAATATTTCTTTCAATCTCTGGTGAATATGCAGCAGACCCATGTTTGAGACCATTGATATTTCATCAATTACGATTAGTTTCAACTCAGCCAAAGACAATCTCATTTGAGTTCTCCTCTGGTCAGACATGGCAGGTACATTATTCCCACATTCTCTTGGAATTGCCAGAGCAGTGTTTACGGTTGTTCCGTTGATATTTATGGCAGCTACACCAGTTGGAGCCATTAACAATACAGAAGGTAATTCAGGATTCATTGGAGCATGCCTAAATGTTTTTGTAACAGTATGATATATAGCTTTAATTAAGTGCGATTTCCCTGCACCTCCACCTCCAGTAACAAAAACGTGTATCGGATCTACTTTAGATGGTTTAAGAGTGTTTAGGTTGGCCATCTTATTTCTACACCAGGAAAGAACTACGTCATATGCAGAACGTTGTTTGTTGTTTAATGATCTTACAGTTTTTCGTAGATCGTCGTCACTGATTTCTAAGGGTTGATTATAAGAACTTATTCCAGAAGATGGTTGAATTGATTCAGGATTTGATGCAAGATGTTGTGGCAACGATTCGTTAAATAACTCGGTTTCATCACAATCGTCAGTTAAACTTTGTCGCAAATCTTCATTTTCCTGGTCATTTATTGGATTATAGGACTGAGTTGGTATGTCATCAAAGTTTCGTAAATTTTCTAGTGCTTCATTAATAGCATCACCATCTGGCTAAAATATTTCTTTGTTGCGTTGTACTACCTCTTGAACATCTGGCTCATAAAACTTAGATATGTATGTCTGGTCTTCGCCAAAGAGTTCCTGGTGGTGAAAATATTTTTCAGGCTCTTTTCTTTTGTTTGGAGTGTGATATCGAATGACAGCTTTAATTTTTCTGCATTTCATAGTTTCTTTGCTGTTTACAAGTTTTATTCGATCGGGAAGTTCAGTGTTATGATTTTCGATATTTTGAGATTCGATGAAGTCATCGCTTAACGCTTCAGGTTGAGAATCAGATACTTCGTTAAAATCACTTTTGTAATCTTTGAAATAGTGAGCAGCAAATAAAGCTAAACACATATCATTAACGACAGGAATGTTTTTCGGTCTATCACTGTAACGGACAATAATGTTAGACTTAAATATGTCAGTACTATCATCATCTAACTCATCAAGTTCTTGTTGTTTCTTCGCAAATCTAACGCGATTTTCAGCAAAATCCGTGCTAACAAAGAGAGTTTTCGGGAATATTTTTCTTAACCAGAGTTCAGGCATGCATCTGTAAACGCATTCTTGAGCACTGACTTCACGAGTCGAGAGAAAAGCTGCACCTATTTTTCTTAGGCCATCTCTTACATTTAAGTTGGCTTCTTTAGCCTCCTTTGCTGCATTCATGATGGCTTGAGAACATTCAGTTTCATCCTTTGTAAAGTAAGAACAAACGTATGTGATACACTTGTAATGATTAAACACTGGTTGCAAGTCAACATTTGCGGCAAATCCTTTTAACCCAGCAATAAAATAATTGTTGATAAAACAACTATCTATTGGTCTTCTGAGGTGCAATTCATAGTCAGAGTCTGGAGATAATGATATAGCCCATTGATAGTCTTGCTCTGTAATATCTATATCATTTAGGATGGCAGTTGGAGTTGCATGTGGATCATAAGTAGGTTTGCTTGGGTTTAGCACATCATCAATTTTTTGTTTAACTTTGGACAAAATTTCCTTTCGTCTAGTTAGAATATTGGATTTAATCTCTTCATCCATATCTTCTGCCAAAGGTTCAGCAACAATTGTTTTGTCAGTAAAAAACTGTCCAAAGTTAAATCTACATGCAACGTTCTTGTACTTTCTACAGGTTTTACTGTGATTATGTGTCTGGTATGTTTTCACCAAGTCATAAAGTTGAGGATCTGTTTCTTTGTCTGGAAGGTATGCTTGAACATGTTGGTCAATGTAATCTATGTATGCATCTTTTGTATCATTCGTTAAGTCTGGGCAATCAGATGTCCATATTAAGGCATGCAAATGTGGTGAACCTCTCATTTGAAATTCAATACGGAGTGCATAATATACTATCTTACCGACTGGGTTTGCATTTGTAAGCAAAACATCCCTGAAAAATGTTTCGACTCGATACTGGAAATGTTTAGCTACAATAACTGGATTTAAATTTAACATTGAGCATCGCTCATGATACGACAGAGCGCCCACTTCTTCATCTGTCATGTTGTTTCCTTTCGATTTTGCAATTATCTGAAATAGCTCTGGCCATCTTAAGTCTGCACATGAAAGTGTCATAAACCATGTTGGTATTCCCAGTTGTTTAACCATTACTACCACTTCATACATGAATTTTTGCCAGTAAGGAGGTGAGCCAGGAATTTGTCGTAAAAATAAATATGCTTGGTCTTGCAAAAGAAGATTTTGAAAAGCTTGACTGTTCAATTTTACTTGTGATGCTGTGACTGACTGCCCATGAATTGTTTTAAGAGCTATATTTACACTATCAGAGATCTTTTTCTGTTCCATAATGAATTGTGCAAAGAATAGATACTCTGTATTGGTTGCAAATTTCCCACTATAATGCAAGAGGCGAGCATTGAAATATTTTATTGGAGATAATTTTATGTCTCGTTCAACAGTATACCCAAATCGTCCCTTTGGAAAGAGTACTGGAAATGAAAGTTCCTCACAAAGTTTATCTGTCATCAATGATACTGGGTGTTTACCTTCACCTGGTGCAATGTTGAAAATTTCTCTACCTGTTGAATTATCACGGTTTGTATTGTCAAGGTTAACAGGATAATTTGGCAAGATGGACTGAAGACAGGTTTCAGTTGCAGCTGAACGGTGTTCATTTAATGGATCATCTTGTTCTTCAGCATCTTCATTAAGAAGTTCTCTATTTACATTACTTTGCAAATGCTCATCTATATTTTCTTGATTTGTAACAGGACAGTTCAAATTAGTCAACTCTCGGCTGATGTTGTCACATTGAATTTCAATGTTTCTATATAACGGATTGTTTGCTATAAGCCAGTTTAATGCACTAATTACAAACTGAGGGCGAACTGCTTGAAAGTAAACATGACCTCTAAATTGAAGTTTCCTTTTTAATTTAAGTAAAATTATCCCAGATCTGTCAGGTGGTCTGGGAAGAACATTGCAAGTTTGACTACATTCAACTGGTACATTACATATTGCACCTTTAATTTTTCTTTGTTGTCCTTTCGGCATTATTACAATTTTTTCAAAGACTATTCTCTGGGCAACAAGAATTTGTTCAAGTTTCTCTAATGCAGCAAGTTCAGTAGGGGTTTCATCAACAAATAAATTGTTTACCACAGCTTGACAAGGCTGTTGACCTTTAAGTAATTTAGCATGGCATGTTTTGCAGATGTAGTTTTTGCCATCAAAAGAACATTGAAGCATAAAACAATCCTGGCGAGGATATTTATTTTTCTGTAGGATTACTACTGACTTTTTATATAGCGTTCGGTTACACACACAGCATATGTAAAATGGGCCAGATTTAATTTGTTTTTTAAATTTATCAATGTACATGTCAATGTCATGAGTTCGAGATTTCTTTTCCATCCATTTTTCTTTCTCTCTACTCAGCAAATTATTTTTTTGTTTTGCTTTGCTTGAAATCATAGCACTCAACTCCTTTTTCTTTGATATATCCATTGCTTGATATTTTACTCTTTTATTCTCCAGTATTTTCTGTTTTTGTTCTTCTCCCATTGTTTCCTTATAATTCATATTTTTAGTAAGCAGTTCCTCTTTCTTTGATTGATCCATTGCTTCATATTTGGCTCTTTTATTCTCCAGTGTTTTTCGCTTTTGTTCTTTGCTCATTGTTTTTCTATAATTTATATTTTTAGTAAGCAGTTCTTCTCTCTTTGGTTGATCCATTTCTTCATATTTTATTCTTTTATTCTCCAGTATTTTTTGCTTTTGTCCTTTATTCATTGTTTTTCTATAATTCATATTTTTAGTAAGCAGTTCTTCTCTCCTCGATTGATCCATTTCTTCATATTTTATCCTTTTATTCTCCAGTACTTTTTGCTTTTGTCCAATATTCATTGTTTTTCTATAATTCATATTTTTGGTAAGCAGTTCTTCTTTCTTTGATTTATCTAACATTTCATATTTTGTTCTTCTCTTTTCCAATATTTTTTGTTTTTTCTCCTGAGCCATAATTTTGTGATCATTTACACGTTTAGAGTTAACTTGCTGTTTTACTAATGGGTCCATTGTTTTGTATTTCATCTGCTTTGTTTCTAGCTTCTGTTTCTTTAGAGCTGATTCAATGAAGTCATTTATATAGTTTTGCCTGTGGTTTTTCATAATCCCTTTTCTTTCACAGTTGGTCAATTCAGAAGAACAAGACAAAAATTGAATTTCATAATTGACAATTCCATCCTTCATTTTGGTGGTTGCTAGGTTAAAGATAGCATCAACTAAAGTATGCTTGTCGTTTATGTTTTTAATGTAATTTGCAGTACATGTCGGCAAGCTATCATCATCATCATATGCTAATATTGAGTATGACATATTCTTAATTGATGTCTTTTGAAAGATGCAAGAAATACAATAATCTCCAAACCAAATTAAAAACCCTGTGTTTCATTAGTATGACAAATAAGGCTTTCAATGTGTAGTTTGCTTTTTGTCTGGTCATAAACTATTCCTTGAATATTAGCTTGCAATTTTACATCTATTTCAGTTCCACATATTTCAACTTTTTGAGGTATATCACAAGATGTATTTATCCCAGTGTTGTTATACAAAGTAGTACCAAAGTAAACAACTGCGGCCACTGTATTTGAATCCCAGTAATTACAAGGTTTAATAACAGAATAACAAATCGAGTATAATGAAATCGCACAGCATTGTCTACATAAACAAGAAACATCAGTACTTTTAGATTCGTCTGAGGCATTACCTGATAGGGCAGAATTTCTAATGCTGTTGTTTAAGTTCTGGTCACAATTGGCTTGTACTTCTTCAATATTTATTCCTCTTAGCTCAAATTGACTGTTTTCCCTGTATAAAGACTGGAAATACAGAATTACGTTGTTGATATTTGGTGCTTCTAACAGAACACATGTACCTTGTGGATGACCTCTGCCATAAATATCTCTTGAATGAGAGTCAAAAACTTTATACTTGCCATCAGTGGTGGAAAATATGCAAACAGCATTGGAGTCAATTGTTAAAATGAATGCAGAATAGTTTTCAGCCAGGAGCAAATCAAATGATCTGTGAAATGGAACACAGTACTGATACCCTTCAATAGAACAGTCTCCAATTACATTACCACTATAGCTCTCACTGTACTCAAAAATATAATCTCTGTCAAATACTGTAAGTTGGAAGGCAACTCTGTAAACAATAAAAATGATTGCCGTGCTAAACACGATAAGTTTGAATATAGTTCATTACCAATATTCATTACATTAACCAGGTCTTGTGGTGAGCATATGTTCTGTCTTTTGTTGTATATAAGGGCACATAAACACATTGCTAAACACTGCTGTCCTGCTGTTTCTTCAAATATAATCTGATTACCTTGGCTATATGGTGCACTGATTGTCTTGCTGGGATCAATATAGAATATGGGTCCAGGATTCGTCTCAATATCTGTACGTAATGCTGACTGACAGACATTCTTTAAGTGGTTGACATTTTTGTACACCTGTTGTGCATATAAATCATTAGTCGAACCTGATAAATAGAATATATCTGCAAGAATTCCTTCACATATATAAAATTTTAAATTGTTTGCTGAACAGTTTGTTCGGCATTTCGTGTGGACCTTCATCGGGCAGTAAACATCAGGGTTACACTTCATAGTAATGTCTTGACAATGCATAATATTCTCTACTATATAATGAAGATGAGAGGATCTGGGTACAGACCTTTTGATCGTATGTCTGAGACGTTTTCTCAACAATCGACTTTTTCCAAACTTCCTAGTTAACCATTTTACCTGTATTCTACTGGGTTCACGGTCACGGTGACGTAAATGGCAACCAGTGGTAGTAAAGTCAGTAACATGCTTTTGTGTGCAGACATTATAAAATAATGCATATCGTGATCGCACTGGAAGATTCTTTATACGCATAGGATTGAGCTTTGAGTCCTTTGACAGACCTGTTATTTCAGTATTCTGGTTATTCAATTTAAAAATACAGTTGTTAGATATATTTATACCTGACATACATTGATCTGTGCCTGTGGACACATTCTTGCTTTCCATATCATCTTTGCTCAAAATTATTGACAAATTCTTGGTTGGTATCTGTTCAAACGATATCGCATTGTCCATGTTCTTTGTAGCCTTTCTACTGGCGACCATGTTAACCATGTGCTCGTTAACAGTACAGCAACTTGATTGTGAGTTAACGTTTGTTTTTTGTATGTTTGTCTGTGTATTATTCGTCATTTCAGTGGTACTTTTGATGTCAGTGGTACTTTTGATTTCAGTGGTACTTTTGATTTCAGTAATACTTTTGTCATATTTTTGGCAACTTTTTGTGTAATATTTTTGGCAATCTCTGGAATTTATTGTGGATTCGTGGATAATCGACCCGGTTCGAAATCGCTCAGCATCTTTTAGTGTAGGTCTACCACGAATAGGTGCAGAGTCATGCGAGGTGAGCGTATTTGAAATGAAATCACATTCACTTACCGTAAACATCGTCGAAAAAATCGCTTTGTTCCCAAAAATCAAAATATAAAACAGCGAGCCGAAGTAAGACTTGCGATTTGCGAAGGTTGCTGTTTCTATGTCAATTTTGGTAAAATTCCTTGTAAAATTGTTCAATATTTTTCAATTTTCCCAAATTTTCCTCAAAGCGGAGGGTTATTTATGGCTAATTTGGGTAAAAATTGGCAGGAATCTTATGGATAATTTGGGTAAAAATTGGCAGCTCATTAATATTCTATTTTGTGGCTATCAACGACGATTGGAGATTGGAGATTGCCGATCCACTAAATGATGCCGAAACCTATACTCGCCCGGGGCACAGGGTGCCCCAGCGAGTAATAAATTATCAACACACAACAATTAATCAAGCTTTGCTAGAACATGAAATGAAATAAAAACCTAAATAAACTGTTTGTATAATAAAAAGAGGGCTCCTTTGTGCACATGCGCAGATCGAACTGTACAGCATCTTTAAATCAAAACAACGAATCATCCCGATTGGCAGGGCAATCAAAGTGCGAAAAATCGATAAAATTACTAAATAAATGACTATGAGTACAATTATATTAAATGATAGAATGTAGAGTTATTAAGTAACTTATTGCAGCTAGCAAACAATAAGCAGTTCGTATGCATGTACATTGGCATCGGCAGTTCAATTATACACGTAGCTTAGTGTATTGTACTAGCGCTGGCGTTGCATGGCATCATTGGTCTTGGAAGGGCAATTCTGCCAGACACCCCCTAATTGAAAAGGGCCTAGTTTCGCCCCTGAAAGGCTTTGAGCGCACTTGGTCATTTTTTGTCGCAATCATTTCATAAAAGTGTCATTATTCGACAGCTAAAAATTGTAATCTTTATTAATACGAAAAAGAAAACTTATTGACGTATTAATTAACGCACGATAACCTGATGACAAAGTTGGATTACCTCTTTTCGATACACACTGTATACAGCTATTTCAATTAAGGTTGTCCCCCGAGCAAAGCGGAAAAGTCGAATACAAGCGCGAAAGGCAGCTGGGAATCGCTAATGAATGAATGAATATATTAGCGATTCCCAGCAGTCTTTCGCGCTCATATTCGACTTTTCCGCTTTGCTCGGGGGACAACCTTAATCGAAATAGCTGTATATAGATTACCCTGGATTCCAGAGCCTTTGACAGTAAATAATAAATTGAAACGTCGCAAAGGCTCTGGTTCAACGGGAAGATTCTTTGATTAAACCGCGCCAATCACAAAACAGAGTTAGTGGTTTTAGTACTAAAACCACTAATTCTGTTTTGTGATTGGCACGGTTTAATCAAAGAATCTTCCCGTTGAACCAGAGCCTTCGCGACGTTTCTATTAGTATTATTTACTATCGAAGGCTCTGGAATCCAGGGTATATATATATATATATATATAGATATATGTCATCTAAAATCATGCATTTCGTACCATTTTGCGTTAGTTCTTTTACGTTGTAACATCCGTTTTTGTCCTCTTGCATGCATTTTACCCTTTTTGTCACTTGTCGGTATTTGTACGTGATTCTAAATCTTAGGGGAGTCTATTATAGTTTGGCGGTTAGGTGGTCTTGGCGATTTTGAGATGCCGGTTTTCGGATATATCTCAATTTTCGTGGCGGTTTACGGTGAAGAAATAATCACTCGGTAATGGAAAATCGTTGAGCATAGACTATATTACATAATTCATAAGCTCCTTCTGAAGATTGGCTGCCAGTTCACAAAAATAAAATGTAATAAAGCATAGTAAATTTGTCATTGAGTCAGGCTATCAACCTCGTACCCAGGGCCTTTCCTCTTGGCGAGGGGAGAAAAGACCCTGGTAGACGTTGGTCACGTGATCTGCTAAAATCTATAGCAGATTTTTAATTAGCAATCTAAGACGAGGTCAATAAATATTTGGTATTTGGATAATTTTTATAGTTTAATTTATAATTTGCATTTTGTATGATTGTCTTAAAGGAATCCAAGATAGTTAATTAGAAATCTCCTAGCTACGAGGTTGTCAGGCTATCTGCCATAAAAAATGGTCAAAACCTGGGAAGTCCACGGAACTGGAGTTTGTAAATTATAGATCCATTCTTACGCAAAATACAAAATGGCTTACTATGCAGTGTTGAAACTGACAATTTATTATCGTTATTTTTTTAAAGTATCAATAATCTTGGGTCTGCATAAAGTGCGAGACATGCGATGCATCAAAAACTTGCGAATCACACATCAATGCAGCAGTGAGCCATGCATATTTCGCAGAAACGTTTCTATAATTAGATGAAATGTATTTGTACGAGTACTATAATGTTATATTGTGTATAATTTTAAAGCTTATATGCCGAAAACAATGTTTTCTGTTTAATTTAAAGGTACGTAATAAATGTTGAAGATAGCCATATCTTTACATGTACGGTATCAAAATAGACAATGCTTGGTCTTATTAAATTAAACATTTTTATGAATACGGCAAGCACGGCTGCAACTACTGAACTCAACAAAATTGAGTCTAAGTTTAGTTATTCGGGATAGCTTTATTTATTGTAGATTGAATGTTCTCGCAGTGGTCTATAGTTTTCCATTGTAACTATATACCGGACGAAACTTAAACTGGACTCAATTTATTTATGCTAGAAGACACAAGTTTGTGTAGTTTAGATCTTGTGTTTGTCGTTACTCCTTAACACTGTCACTGATATTCGTACAAAATATACTTAATTCTTCGTTGTCAACATTCGCGATATCATGCTTGTGATGTTACTCTGAGTGTATATCCGCACCGGGCAAGCTTGAAAAATATGCCTGATCACGGTGGGAATCGAACCTACGACTTTTGGAATACTAGCTCAATGCTCTGCCAACTGAGCTACGCGGTCTGGTTGGTTCGAGTATGTGATATTTCGGAACAGAATCTAGTTCCTTCGATATCAATGTTATCTAATAATAATCATGATTTTTTCTGTGTTAGTGTAATCTACTCAGGTGAACCTGAGTACATTAGACTAACACAGAAAAAATCATGATTATTATTAGATAACATTGATATCGAAGGAACTAGATTCTGTTCCGAAATATCACATACCATTCTCGTACCCAGAGCCCTTCTTACGTGCGGTGAGGGGCTCTGGCCAAATTCATAACCGGATACCATAAAAAATATGGTAAGAAAACAATGTCCGGTGTTAGAACTAGCCAATCAGATGCCAGTTCGGAATATGGATTTGGCCAGAGCCCCTCGTCGCACCGCGCATAAGAAGGGCTCTGGGTACGAGAATGTGTGATATTGACATTTATTAGTTACATTGAAGTGATACTCGTAAATAGCAAGCCTGTTTGCAGGCTATTAGGCATGGACCTTCGGGGGTAATAATTAACTGAAAGACTAAGACGATTGTTATTGTACATGTGTTCGGGGAAGACAATATATAAATTTACAGTGGTGGCAGCGGTGATTCTCGCTTTAAATTGTCGGAAATGGCAGAAATAAAACAAGCCTGTTATGACGGTACGGGAGATGTAGATTTGTGGCGGATGAAAATGAAGTTCTATTGTTCTACAAAGAAATTTGAAGGTAAACAAGAAGCTCACGCCATAGCGAGTAAACTCGAGGGGGCGGCGTTTCTATGTATTGCGAGATTAGACGATGAACTTCAAGATGACCCAAAAGAAGTTAAAGCCGCTTTAAGGAAGGAATTCAACAAAGAATCGATCGACCACGAGAAAGCTGTCGACGAATTACGAGGTTTAAGGCGAAAAGGCGGTGAAACACCAGCACAGTTAGCGTGGAGAATCGAAAAGTTGATGGCGAAGGCTTACCCGGAGTTATGCGCGTCAACACACGGATCGGCAAAGAAAACAAAGGAACTAATGTTACATGATACCTTTTTGGGAGCTATTGACAATGCAATGAGTCGAAAGATAAAGAGCGACAGTAAACATCGAGATTTAAATTTAACACAACTTTCTGAAGAATTAGATCGGCTCGAGCTAATTTATAAAACAACAGTGCCAAAAGTAAACCTCGAAGTAAACAATTTCAAAACGACAGGGGAAGCAGACGAAATATCGTTAAGAAAGATAATCAGAGAAGAGGTAGCAGCCGCCCTATCCAAAGAAAACGATGGAAGTCGGGAAACGGAGGACGAAACAAAACGTACGGTCGGGTTCGTTGGAAAGAGAAATTT